TAGTGGCTTTTGATGGCTATGGGATATAATGGATATTCATGGGAGCTTTTTCCAGCGGGCCTTTCCAGCACTTCGTTTTCCCGGATGATGCAAGTTGGGAAAATCGTCGGCTCACCCCAGATGAAATGTGCTCGATGTGATGGGAGATCATCAGTAAACCGAGCTGGCTACTGACAAAATTACTTGGAAAATCATGTTTTAATCATGTTTTTTTTTTTGTATTCTTTGGATGACTCATAATTATGACCTCACTGCGACGTTACGAGAATGATGGTTTATAGATGGGGAATCATCCCCAACTTGCGGAACTTTCAGGCATTTTCATGTTAGTGAACTATCATACATCGTTCTAATTTCGCCAGAGATCTTGCCATTTTCATGGGAACATACACTAGGCAGCTAATTTTTTTTGGCAGTGTCTAGCTGGTTGGTGGTTTGGAACCATGGGATTTTATGACTTTCCATTCAGTTGGGAATTTCATCATCCCAATCTGACTTTAAAATTTTTCAGAGGGGTAGGTCAACCACCAACCAGACTTATATATAGCCATTAACCAGCAGATAGGGGCTGGAAGATTAGTTTCCATTAAAACTAGGCTATTTTCAGGGTCTATGCTAATTTACCAGAGGGTAACCATTAACCATTAACCATTAATAATGGCTGGTTTAATGGCTGGTTTAATAACCATCAACCACCAACCAGCTAAGAATGATGATCAGCCAGAAGGTTTTAAGGGGTGTTTACCTCTGGTAAACATACAACAAACCGATGGGACATCACCATGTTTAAGTTCGGTAAATCAACTATTTCTATGGCCATGGCTGAAAAATAGCAAACCTGGTTGGTGGTTTCAAACATGTTTTATTTTACATTTCATATATGGGATGTCATCCTTCACATTGACGAACTCATATTTTTCAAGATGGTTAAAACCACCAACCAGATATGGTTTTATATATGGTTTATATATATATATATGGTTTCATATATGACTGGGGTATACTTAATAATTACCATCATTACCGGCTTATTTTCAGATGGTTTCATGAATGCCACAGAAAAAATCACGCCGCTGCACAATAAGCATGGTAGAACTTATCCGGAGAGATCGATTCCCCCTTGGTTTACTACCCATGTACCCTCCGGTGTCAGCATGGCTAGCTGGGAAATCCCTGAACTAAATGGAGGTTTTCAGGGGAACATCGTCTATAGCAGATTTTCCATTGCAGTGTTTGGTGATCGGAGGGTAACTGTGGGAATCACCATCTGCCCCAGGTATTCTAGTGGCAAACCAGCTTAAGACTTAGCTCACTGGGGGTGCCATTTTCTACATACTGTCCTATGCTGTTGAAATTGTGATCCAATACTGGTTGGTGGTTTGGAACATTTTTTATTTTTCCATAATATATGGGAATAGTCCTTCCCATTGACTTTCATATTTTTCAAGATGGTTGAAACCACCAACCAGTAATATATTTTGCGGGGTGTTGCGAGCATCCCGAGCATCCAGGATGTTTTTTTTTTAACCAGCCAGGCTACCGGGTAAACATTTGTTTGACCCAGGGGATCAAAATTAGGTACCCCAATCATTGGATGGTTAATACTAAACCAGACTAACATCTGTGGTCCCCTAGGTCTTCCATTTTGACCCACATCCATAAATGGATGATGAATTTCCATTCAGTTGGGAATTTCATAACTCCAACTGACTTTCACCCAAAAAAAATCAGAGGGGTTGGTAGGTCAACCACCAACCAGACTTATATATAGCCATTAACCATTAACCATTCCCCTCTGGTAAACTAACATAACTATGGAAAATCACCATTTTAATGGGTAAATCCACTATAAATGGCCATTTTCAATAGCTTTTTGTATGTTTACCAGAGGGTAACCATTAATAGTGGCTGGTTTAATGATTTTAGTATATTGACCCATAGCAACATATGAAATCTCAGGACTCCATGGAGTGGCCAAGATCTTTTTTCGGCTGCCAGGGGCATAGTGACGGGTGATCACAGGAACATTTGCTACCATGTTTTGACATTAGTTCATGTGTTTTGACATTGGTACCCATAGCTAGGTAACCCAATGTAACCTATAGTTTCTTGTGATGTTATATAAACCAACTATATATTCTGATTGGTGGTTTGGAACCATGGAATTTTATGACCTTCCATTCAGTTGGGAATGTCATCATCCCAACTGACTTCATATTTTTCAGAGGGGTAGGATTCCCCATTTCAAGAAAGCCCGAGCAAGCCTCATTTCTCCACCCATCATTGGGCCCCCATCGCCGCGTCAGGAAAACCATCAGTTGGACAAAGAACTGAAGGAGAAGCATGAGGACGGTGTCTGGATGCTGCGATTTGCCATGGTGAGAACCACCTATATGTACATATACATGTTACATTTATATATATATACATATTATATGATATTTTTGAATTATATACATATATATATATATATATGTGATATGTATGTATGTATATATATATTATATATATATATATTATATAATGATATATCTGGGTAAATTTGATCACGACCGAACCCTGTTCTCCCGAAGCCTGGTTCATCATGGTTTTATAGGGAAATCATCCCCAAATGGCCGAACTATTCAGGTTAATGAATTACTATAATTTACCCATGTGTTGATCTCGTTTAAGGGTCTAGATCCGTGGGGTTTACATCAACTACCTTTTTCAGCCAAAGTAAGATGTCTCAAAGCAGCCTTAATTGAGACATTTTGAACACTGTCCAAGGTTGACAATGCCATATCGTGTTTCCAAAAGTTGTTCAGAATTGCTCCACATGACCCAAACTGGCCCGAAAACTCTGCCCAATATACAATATATGATCTTATATAGATGTACACTTTATATATGTATATTATTTAATGACTACATGCATGCATGCATGCATGCATACATACATACGTACGTACGTACGTACACACATACACAGATGCATGCATGCATGCAGAACATAACATAGCATAGGATTGCATTACATTACATTACATTGCATTGCATTACATTACATTACAATACATACGTAACATAGCATTATATTATAATTATATTTGTTTACATTACATTACATTACACTACACTACATTACATTACAATACATACATACCACAACATAACATTAGATTAGAATAGATTACATTACAATACATTACATTACAGTACATACATAATATAACATCACATAACATTAGATTAGATTACATTACAATACATTACAAGACATTACATTACAATACATACACAACGTAACATGACATAACATTAGATTACATTCTATTCCATTACACGCATACATATGTATAAATACATATGTACGCACATTGGGGAAATCCTTATCCATCAATTCTTGGTGAACCCCAATTTGCCAGTTGATTCCTCATCCAGCACGCCATGTTTGAAAACACGGGAGGCTACCAGCAAACATGGTATGAGTAGTCGTCACATGGGGTGGAGCCTGGAGAAACTACTATGAAACATGCATTTTTTGGGGGGGCACATACTGGGATATAGTGTTAATAATATGGTAATTAGCCTAGTTGTTTTAGCTATTTTACAACTGTTAACTATTATAAATGATAGGCAATGATAGCATAGATGTCCTTTTCCCATTGGTTGGTTGATGAAAATAGAGGGGTCTGAACGTTTACCCCTAAAACAACCAGGTTTGTTTGATGATAGATGGGATTAACCAGCAACCGGCCCCTCTATTTTTACCAAAATGACATTATTGAATATACCCTCTGGTTATTTAACATAGCTATGGACAATCACCATTTTTAATAGGTAAACCATCTATAAAGGGCCATGTTCCATAGCTATGTCAGTCATAACCAGAGGGTAACCAACAACATCCAAGGCGGTGTGTTGTCGAAATTGCGGGAATTGATGGTTATAGACGCATCCTAAAATCGCACTTAACCGGAAAATCAAAGGGAATGACTCAGGATCCAATTGATGGAGGTACGTAAACGTACCATATTTTGGGCCATAGTTTGCGGGGATATTCCCTTACATAGCCCTTACATAGGCCTTATATATGGTAGGTACCTCCAATTTATGCCATTGAAATGATGAACAACGCATCAATTTGGGGTAGCACATTTTCAGAGAATACTCAGGGCCCCTCAAGAGGTGATCTTGCCGGAGTTCCATGCTCCTATAGGAATAGCACCATTATTTTGTGACCTTAAAGTGAATGAATCTATTGGTATTTCAGAGGGAATGGGATTCACCAGCTTAGAGTCGCTGCACATGAAAAAAAACAAATCTGGGAGATTGAGAAGTGATTACGATTCGTGGCTCATCCCAGGAATCGTAGTTTATATCCCTGGGAAAAAGTGGGATAAGTAGGGTTCATCCACTTATCACTATAGGTAAACTAAGCTATTTACGATTCGTGGGAGGATCCTCCAGTGATTCGTGATATCTTCTTGGGGGTTTCCCGGGATAGTTGGATAGTGATTTCTGACGCCACCGCCGCAGATTGGGAGTAGTGTGAAGGCACAGATGGGTTTTACATCATTCATATCCCATGGAAATACCCTCTGGTTATGACTAACAGTTCGCCATGGAAGCCATGGCCCATTTTTAAGAACGGTAAACCATCTATTTCGATTAGGGCCATGGCTTCCATGGCAAACTGTAAACGTCATAACCAGGCCGGGTCCCACGAAAATCTCAGAAAAGTTATATCCTGGGATCATGCCACGAATCGAAAGGGAAGCTGCGTAGCTCAGCTAAAACCCCCCCTAGTTTTTTTTGTGGAGAGAAACCATGATTAACCCAGGGATAAAAAAACCCTATATATATACTATTATATATTAATATATATATATATATCCCACTTTGATGTGGATTTAACCCTAGTTATATGTGATTAACCCTACATATCCCTTTTTTTTTTCAGGGACGTGGGCGATTCGTGGGTGGTCAGCTCTGTATTTTCGCCATTTTTGATCAAACGAGATGCATGGCTGGTGTGGCATAACCTTTTGTCGCAGCTTTCGAGGTACGCGGATGGCGGAGGGTTTGAGCTGGGATGGATGTCACGTGGATGGAGCGAATTCTCAACATATTTTCTAGATCTAATATGGACATATGGGGGTTTCCATACATGGGGGATCCCCAATAGCTGGATGGTTTATAATGGAACATCCTATATTTAAATAGATGATTTAGGGGGTCTCCAATTTCAGGAAACCTCCATATATGGAAATTCTATATACTGATAGAGACTGATAGGCTAAGAAAAGTAGCAGCTCATACGGAACTTCCAGCATTGCGTTGTTGATGATTTTCCCAGCGAACGAAAGCTCCATTTGTATGAGGCCTCATGATTTTTTGATATACCCAGTTACCTGGCTGGATTTTGAGTTTCCCCTCTGTCATCACACATGGCAAGCTGGGAACTCCACGAACAAAGTAGGGAGGTTTTCTGGGGAAATTCAACGTCGCCATGTTTGATTACTGGAGGGTACCACTATTTATAATCTTCAATGGGAACTCCCACCCAATGCTTGGTAGGACAACATTATAATTCTTTAACATATCTGATTCGTGAACTTGGCCATTTATAGTGATTCACCTATTGGACATAGTGATTTTCCATAGCTTTGTGTATGTTTACCAGAGGGCAATCTCTAAGAACCGGGTTTTCCATCCGTTGCAGGAAGCTCCCAAGTCTTGTTTACAGACCCATCGAAGACTACATAGAATAGCTGGTTGGTGGTTTGGAACCTGATTTTTATGACTTTCCCTGACGAACTCATATTTTTCAGAGGGGTAGGTATACCACCAACCAGATAGATATATCCATGAACTAAATCCCCACTTACCCTTCTGAAACTTTCCAACATGACCTCAAATTATTTTCGAAGAACCTCCACCCACTTCCCAGTGATTTCAATAATGGGCTCTGTCAATGGGGTATACCCCAAAATTTGGCATGCTTTTGATCGGATATAAACCAATGAATTTAGGACTACTCCATGGTCAGACACGCTCTAAAATGGCAGTAAAGAAATGACGCAAAAAGTCTCAGGTTCCGCGTGTTTCGATGGCAGCGTTGCAGTTTCGGAACAGCTTCATTGCCGCGCCTGGCTTCGTTTTGTGCAAGGGTGGACTGGGGAAGTTCTTGAGAGCCGTACATGATGGGAATGGGTATGAATTGGTGGGAAACTATCCCAAAATGGTGAAACTTTTGAGGCGAGTGAAGTTAGACAATGTATTTTTGTCCTTTTTTTAATATTTTTATCCCGCTTCATGAGTTCAGTTGGAGCTTTCTAGTGACATTGGCATGAAAGAGGTGTTTGTTTACATCAGCAAATTGGTTTGTCTGAAAATGTTGGGTTAATCTTCCCAATGAAATAGCCATTTTTCATAGGGATAATGATCAGCAAAACCATAGGGTTTAGTAGGATGAACATCCATAAATCCCAGCTATTTTGGGGTGAACAAAAGGTACCAGGGTTTTGACCCATCCCCAAATCAAAAATCAGGATTCATCATGATCATACAATGTGAGGCCCCCCAGTGATGTTTGTTGGTTTATAAGCCCCATGAATACTATAGTTATAAGTACCATAAACCATAGCAAATGAAGTGATTGGTCACGGTGGGTCACGTGAGCCATGGGCAGAACGGGAGGAAAAAGGAAACTCAGTACGGGATGACAGTGTGATGTGTATCAGATATCTCCCATCATACATCCCATTACATATCCTACTACATGTACACATATATAATAATATATATATATATAATCATATATATATATACACAATCATATATATATATATATATTCATATTTATATATATATATATACAATAATATATATATATAATCATATATATATAATCATATATATATATATAATCATATATATAATCATATATATAATCATATATATATAATTATATAATCATATATATATAATCATATATATAATCATATATATATAATCATATATATATAATCATATATATATAATCATATATATATATAATCATATATATATAATCATATATATATACAATCATATATATATATAATCATATATATATAATCACATATATAATCATATATATATAATCATATATAATCATATATATAATCACATATAATCATATATATATATATAATCATATATATATATATAATCATATATATATTTAATCACATATATATAATCACATATATAATCATATATACATAATCATATATATATAATCATATATATAATCATATATATATAATCATATATATATTTAATCACATATATATAATCACATATATATATATATAATAATATATAATATATAATCATATATATATATATTTAATCGTATATATAATTATATATAATCATTTGTATATAATCATATTTATACATGTTTATAATCATATATATATATATATAATCATGTGTATATATATATATATAATCATATATATAATCATATATATATATAAAATCATATATATATAATCATATATATATATAATCATATATATATATATATTTAATCATATATATAACATCATATATATATAATCATATATATATACAATCATATATATAATCATATATATATATATACAATCATATATATATATAACCCTATATATATAGTAATATTCATATAATCATGTATATATATATAATCATATATATATAATCATATATATAATCATATATATATAATCACATATATAATCATATATATATATATATATCATCATCATATATACATATATAATCAGATATATATATAATCACATATATATATAATCCCTAGATACATACATTATATAATTATCTTACATTATGTTGGTTGATTGGAGGATTATACTTCTCTTTATGGTGACTTGTCACTAATCGGATAAGGATAATTTCTCAAATTTATGGTACTGTGACGATCCGGTTAAAAACGGATGAAACGATCATGGTTTTGTGATGCCCGGTTTCAAATCTTTCAACACATCATATAAGAATGTATTGTGATATGATTTGTGTCATGATATGTTTGTATTATGCATCCTGATTTGTCCCTCTAGATTCCATCAGCTATTCCATGAAAGAAATCCCGACCAGTACATCCCTGCCTATATGTTATGCACTTAGTCCACATTCCATGATCATCCCACCACAGATCCACCATGAATCTACAACCCAACATCATTTGCAGGATATACGCCATGTACGCAATATATAAATATATATATATATTATATCTATATAGCTATGTATATAGCTATGTATATATGTATGTATATATATATATACACATACACATAGACATCATACATCCCTAGTATATCATAGTATATCTATGTCTGAACACATTTACTGTAGTTGGTTTAACATTACCTTTATGTCGTTGATTCCCTTTTCTTGTGACCTGGACATCACTTGAGCAGTGACTGCTAAACCCCTGTTGGTTGATGATTAGATTGGGGATTATACTACCCAATATATTGGGGATATTTCGTAATCCAAGAATGGGGACTTTCGTTCTTAACCAACCAGATTATATAGGTTTATACATACCCGCAGAACCTAACGTTCGCCCAAGATGACATAATATATCTCATTTTTCCCATAGTTTTAACACATGTTTCATCCGCGGTTCTAACCGCCTTGCAGGGATGGACGGTACACTAGGTGTGGCCCCTCGCTACGCGGACGACACAAAATTTGCTTCATGGCTCGTTTCGCAATAATTTGCGGCAACAACCCTTCGCAGACTTCGTGGGCGTCTGTGCAAAAGAAGGGCCGTTTCGTACGAGAAAACTAAAACGTCCGGATCTGTGCGTATAGACTAAAAATTGTATTGGGGATTTTACTAGCCATATCCAACCATAATCTAGGGTAGTACTCAAAAATCATAGAATGACAGAGGGATTTTGAACAAAAGGTTCACGGTTCTTTTTCCGCCCAAGAGCCACTCAGGAGGGGAACGCTTCCAGCGAAGCGCGCCCGCGTCGTGCACGTTCCGAACCTCCGCGCAGGGCGCCTCTCGCGGATGATGTTTTGTCGGAGAAGATGCAGGAGATGCACCTCACCCAGTGGCTGCAGCAGGGTTGCTTGGTAAAAACAAAAGGGGACTTGAAGATTGGAAGTCTACAAAAGCAACACAAAACATAGGGTATTTTGATGGGACTTCCTGGGATTTGAAAGGATTTGACAGGAATTCTAAGCAAAAATCAAGAATTTAGTGATAGACCGGTGCTTTTGAGCAGTGAGTTGGGGACGTTGAACTTGGGTATTTAACCAGCAAGAAATTGTTTTTCTTTTGGGGTTTAAGTCAAGCACATGGTCGGAGATAAGCAACACAACGGGGATTTATCAAATCAAATGCGTCAAGAACGAGGATTCAACACGTTAACCAAAAGTTTACTGATTATCACAGCTGTTGAAACAATTGGATTTGACAAACGCATAAGGACCTGCTGGTGGATTCAAGGAATGAAATTGAGATTGAAACAAATTGGGGATATGAGGAAAAAACATGGGTTAAAGTAACTACTAAGAAATGGGAAACATTGGTCAGAAAAAGTGCCGGTGAGCCACAGTAGAGCAATGTGAGTCATGTGGCAGGGTTGCTCCAGCCCAGTATAGGTAAATGATAGCCAGGGATTGGTTGCTTTACTTCTATATTTACTTTACCTAATTATACAGTGGGCCTTGGGAGCAACCCTGCAGCTGCAGTAGACGTCGAAATACATAAACATAAATAAACATATATATATATATATTATATATATATAAACTATTCAAGGCCCAACGGTTCCAGTTTCCAGTTGCGCGGTTTAGAAACATATATTTTCAGATTTTCTGGGCACAACATGGCATGGACATTTTTGCGTCACAATCCCACCAGGTTTTTGGGATTGAACCCTCAAACACAAGCTTGATAGTGGATGATAGATAGTGATTCATCAGCCTAATGAATCCATACGGCCCAGTCATTTCATGGACATTTCAACCAAAAAAACATCCTTTTCTGAGGTGAACCCCCGGAATGGGAGTGGTTCTTGGTGCTGAATATTCCCCGCCTTCATAAAACCAGGGCATATTTGAGCACCGACCTGAGGCGTTTCGTTGCATCCCCCTTTTCGGAGATCCGACATCACATCGACCCTACCCCAACAGTGATGGATAGGAAGGAAAAGAGTCATCCGTGAAACTATTGTCAGCACTTATTTTGAGAAATTTGGTAAATCAAAACCAACATGTTGAAGGTTCATTCACAAAAAATGAAAGTTTAGGATGATTCAGCTACCGTTTATGATGTGGGTTTATCACATTAGAATCTGCTACGGTTACTACAAGGTGGTGCCCCCCCATAGATAGCTAAATTGGTTGATAACTGGCTGACTAGGGTTATGGTGAATACAATCATAGATTGATGAGTAATCAACCAACTTATAACTGGGGGCACCACATTGAAAAGAAACTTCCTACGCTCCCTGAGTTTCTTTTCCCCCCGCATGTGAAGAGGTTGGAACTTGGGTAAATTACCCATATCGGGGCATGCTCATAAATCCATTTTCACAGGCTTTGACATACCCATGATGTTTGGATTCCCATGGGAAGAGGTGACCAACGACCCCACATACAGTAGATTACATTACCATGTTTTGATCATGGCACTCTTGTTTCCATTGTAAAAGCATGCTTTTGGCTTTAGTCAAAGACGTTGGCCATAAAAAGAGGACTGGAGCCACATTGCTTGAAAGATGTCGGAACCGGATCTGAGCTAGCAAAAACCACAGCATGATCCCGTTTTTCACTTGACTTATTGGTGCTTAGGGCTGGGATGGTGGAATGACCTAAAAGAACTATATGGACATTTCCTAAGTCATGGGAGTCCCCCCAAATCATCCATTTCTAGATGATTTTCCCATGTTTTAAACCATCCAGCTATGGGGTAGCAACATTTATTATGGAAACCATCATTGATATCCATGTATATTAGATACCACGAGTCTGGAAACAACCAATTTGTACATATAACAAAACTATATACAGTACTAACTATGGAAACCACCATATGTATATTATATATAATATATCAAATATTATATATTTTATATTATATATTATATATTTTATATTATATATCATATATTATATATAATATAATAGAATATATATATATATATATTATATTATTCATTATATTTTATATACTATATATTATTTTTGATATATTTTATTATAAATAGATATATTATATATTATATATTATATATTATATATAATATATGTTATATTTTCTATTATATATTGTATATATTTTATTATATATTATATATTCTATATTATATATTGAGTATTAAATATTATATATTATAGTTTTATATTTTATATATTCTATATAATATGTTATATATTTATATTATATATTTTATATATATTATATAATATATTTTTTTGATTACGTATTACATATTATATATTATATATTATCCTTTTTATTACATAATATATTATAGATAATATATCATATTTAACACATATATTATATTATATTTTATGTTTTATGTTGTTTATATAATTTACCAAATAATATATATTATGTATGTTATTACATTTTTTAATAAAAAATGAAAGTATAATATTTAACATAATATACATATTAAACATATTATATATATATATCTTATACTATATATAAACTGTATATATATTTTAATATTATATATTGTTTTTTTATATTATATATTATATTTGTTGTATTATGTGTACTGTGTATAATATTCTATATTTTATTTAATGTAATACAATTTGGTATAATAAAATATAGTTTTATATAATGTAATTTAATATAGTATCATACAATAATTTAATTCAATATAATATAACTTAACCTAATATAATTTAACGTAATTCAATTTAATTTAACATAATATAATTTAATTTAATATAATATATGTTTTTTTTTAAAATATAATATCATATATATTGTAATTGCATTTTCATATATGTATTATAATATAGATGATATATTAAATATGATATATTATATTTGATATATTATATATTATTTATTTTATTTGATATATTGTATATTAATAAATGATGTATGATATATTACATTGTATTAGATGACTAACAATCATCCCCTCCGGAGTCCTGTAACAAGTCTGCAGCTCCAGGTTACATGGCTGTTTTGCAAGAACGCTCCCAGCAGATTCAGCAGATTAATCAGAACTTGGCGTCCCAGCGGAACATCGTTGTCGGTGGTGTCCTATTGAATAGGCAGAACCTCTAACATAGCCATAGAAAATACCTTCTGGTAAACTAACATAGCTATTGAAAATGGCCATTTATAGTTGATTTTCCCATTGAAAATGGTGATTTTCCATAGTTATGTTAGTTTACCAGAGGGTAACCATACAAAATAGCCATGTTTAATGGCTCAATTATATATCATTAAAATGATCTACAAATGTTTCATTGTCCATTGCTACAGTGGATGGAAGAAATCCTGCACCACCTTGGATGGTTGAAACCCAATAAATAATGGGACAAACCACCGTTTTCAACTGGTGCAATATTTCGCAACCATCCACAGTATTTTGATGGTTTACCATCATATTTAATGGTATTTAATTGTTTCCTTTAGCAACTTCTATTTTTTTTGGGGTTACTATAGTCATGTGGGTATGGGTCAAAATTAGGTACCCCAATAATTGGATGGTGAATACTAAACTAGACTTTTCCATCTGTGGTCCCCTTAACGGTCTTCCATTTTGACCCACATCCATGTGGGTAAAGTCACAAAAAGTGACCAAACCCGTCGTGACCGAAGCCGAAACAATCATGCTACTCGTATACGGAGAATCATCGCCGAATGGCCCAAGATTTCAGGTGGGTTTGTCTGAAAATGTCGTGTACCCCTACACCCAATGGTTTTGCTGATCATTATCCCTACTAAATGGCTATTTCATTGGGGGTATACCCCATTTTCAGACATACCCAGATTAGAAAAACATGATAAGAAAAAGCCAGATATTTGATGGTTTACCATCATATTTCATGGTTTACAAATCATGTTCCCTGTGAACGTTGCCATTTACAGTAAGGTACATCCATTTTTCAGCAGATTTTGGATGAAATTTTGGGAAAATCCGACAGAACTGTTTCTGTTTCTGATGCCAAGCCGCCTCCGAATGGCAGTTCAAGCAGGACAATTGATTGCTAAAGGAAACCATTAAATATGATGGTAAAATTGACTGTAGAAACTCATACCCAGATGATAAAATTTATCTGCAAAATTTTCTATATATCCAGTCATCTAACCATTCATCTAAGATTGAGCAAAGAACAAGTTATACCCTGGTGAATTGATTGCTGGGGATAAAAAACGACCTGGTTTACTGGGGGATTATGATAAACCATGGGATTGGGAAACCGACCGATCAACTTCAATGGGGTACCCTATTTTCAGAGAAACCCAAGTCTAAAAACGGAAGACTTGACACCTGGTTGGTGGTTTGGAACCATGGAATTTTATGACTTTCCATTCAGTTGGGAATTTCATCATCCCAGCTGACGAACTCCATCATTTTTCAGAGGGGTTGGTTGAAACCACCAACCAGTTTCATGTAGGGTCTGCACCACTCCAAATCTCAGGGTTTATGATCAGTTTACTTGCCAGCTTGGCATCCTTTGTGCCAGGGTGCCAAAGAGGTGTCCTCAAACATGGCTGGAACATCCACTATTCACTTCGAGGATTTCCTATTTGAATAGCTATTTCGGGGATTTCCCAACTAGCCACATTTGAGGACATCGGAGGATATTGTTATTTGATATATTCCCCATGATATCCCCATAATTGATAGTTAGTATCCCCCATAGTTGTTGAATATATCCCACCATTTTTTTAATAGCCATTGTGATGTATTTTTTCAATGTATTCCTACGTATATATATATATCCCAACAATGGCATCCAATAAGGGCATCCTTCATTTTTGCGCAAACTCAATCGCTCAAAGGATCCCGAAGACTAGCTCTCCGTTCTAATTACATAGGATAACCCGAGGAATTATGGACGAAAAAAGCTGGTGGTCCAGTGCTAGTCGAATAATTAGTATCTTATAGTTATCTAAACCCTCTGGGAAACATACAAAAAAACTATGGAAAATCACCATTTGGAATAGGTAAATCGACTGTTATGTAGTTATGGGGGTTTCCATAAATGGGGGTACCCCAATAGCTGGATGGTTTATTTCATGGAAAATCCGGAAAGGAATTGGATGAGAAACTGGGGGCACCACCATTTTAGGAACCCCCTTATAGTAATTATATGTAATTATAAGTTCATACCAAAAAGTTATCCTCAAAAGTTCAACGATTGTTTCCCATCTAACTATACAGGATGGGGCCCCCTAGTTATGTTTGTTGGTTCGAAAAAACAAATCTAAATTTATCTAAATTTTAAACTTATGAATTTGAGGTTTCTAGTGGCGCATGCGGGATGCTTGACGGTTAGGTTGACAGAGAGATCGACGGTGAGGTTGACGGGTTCTCTTTTTGTGACGGTGATGTTGACGGTCCGTCAAAGTGTCCGTCAAGGTGTCCGTCACGACAAAATAAGGTTTATTTTAATACGGTCATGAAACACGGATCCGTCAAACTCACGGTCAAGGTCACCGTCACATGCAACCGTCAAGTTTTTGAGGTGTGACTAGAGAATACGTTTCAAATTTAGCTAAATCTAAATATATTTGTAAGTATCATACACCAACTTGCTATTATAGTTATTTGCACCAACTTAGCTAACTATGGTTAATAAATGTTAAAAATCTATAACTATTGTATCACAAAGCTACATTATTGTTAATGTCTATAGCCTCATCCTGTAGTCTTTCTAGTTATTGTTTCACCTCGCGCGAAAACGCGCCGAGGGTGACGGCGTGGACGCAGCCTCCACCGTGGATTGCGAGAGCCAAGAGGAGGCCACGCTGCTGATGGTTGAGAATTTTCATGGAAAATCCCATGGAAAATGCCAGATGGATGAGGTATATAGGTCTGGTTGATGGTTTCAGACATTTTTTATTTTCCATAATATAGTTGGATAATCCTTCCCATTGACAAGCTCCCTCATTTTTCAAGATGGTTAAAACCACCACCAACCAGGGGTCTTTTAATAGGTACTTCAAATATCTTTTCATACCCATATGCTCCACGTATGGACTATTTACCAACATTTGCCCAAAAACACACCCAAATGTAGGTAAATATACCAGACATGGAGCATATGGGATAGGAAAAATGAATGATGAAAATTGAAGGTCTACAGACCTAGGTCAATCTACAGATAGATGATTTGGATTGGGAAGGGTTTTTAATATGGAGGTTTCCAATGTATGGGTCAATCAGTCAATCTTAGATGGGTAGAAACTCATCCAATTTATAGTCAACTGGATAGTATCAATATGGGATTATCTACTAACCAGCTCAGAATGTGTCATTTTTTGCAGGGTATCTGGCTGATTAGCCATGGATGGATGAGGTATATGGGTCTGGTTGATGGTGTAATTCACCCCCAAATGGTACTTTAAATATCAATGATCAATGGCCATGACGAAAAGGAACCGATTGATTGGAGGTACCGATTCCATATATGTTTGGCCTATTTTTTAGGCCTATGTAAGGGAATATGCCTAAAAAATATGGCCCAAAATATGGTACGTTTACGTACCTCCATTTTAGGATCCTGAAATTCCCATTGAAATGATGATGAAACGGGATACCCCCATAGGACACTTCCAAATAGCTATAACAGCATAACCACGGTGAAACAAGCTCCTTAACTTGGGATATGGGGCCCCGAAAAAACTATGGTGATATATCCGCTGGAACTGCATTTCCAAGTAGTGTTCATCAGCTCTTCGAATGGCATGTGAAAACCCTTATGTTGAGTGCTATAGAAGAAAGATGGTGATTTGATCAAATCTTTAATCTTAGTATAAAAAAACATTAAACCAACCTATGTATAAATCCCATCAAATCACCGTTTTGGTTGGCTAAAACGATGGTGATTTGATGGGAGTTGATGGGGTTTTAGCCAACAAATCGGTAGTTTTCCCCTGGGATCCAACGGCAAGAAAAACCCGCTCTGGAAGCCGTGGCCCAGGCACTCATGTAGGGGTTTCCATAAATGGAGGATCCCCAATAGCTGGATGGTTTATTTCATGGAAAATCCCACTAAAATGGATTGATTTGGGGGTACCCCCCATTTCAGGAAACCCCCATTTGCCATAGCTATGTTGAATTGTGTTAAATTACTAAAGGGTATATCGTTTTGGTCAATCATGTTGAACCACAGTAATATCAACCGCCGGATTGTAATTCACCACTCAGCCGTGAAGTTAAAAAAAGGGGGTAGCAGGTAGCAGTAACAGATGACATGACCATTGGAGAGTGTTACCCCTCGAGACTTGTGATCAATCACGGAGTCATAAAATCTCGGGCATCCAACTAGTTTGGTATATCAACAATGAAACCCAACAGCGAAGCCAGTCATAAACTTACTTAGCTAAGTATGGCAGCACATTGCCATCAAGCCATGTCAATCCAAATCATAGTGGTGAAATATCCCTCCAAGTCTACCCTCTGGTAAACATACAAAAAACTATGGAACATCACCATTTCTCATGGGAAAACTCACTATTTCGACTGGGCCATTTTCAAGTTCACTAACTGACACAAATTACCAGAGGGCATCATGAATTCATGGGTTTTAACCATCGAAAAAAATAGGGAGGGGGCTTTTCCTGCTGGGGGCACTAGTGTTTTTTTCTACGGCTGGGGGAAATAGCATCTGGTCAATTTTTGTACAAGTAATTTGGATGATCCAACCCACTACCCTCTGGTAAACTCACAGTTTTCTATTGAAAATGGCCCTTTTGGTTCGTTGATTTACCCATCAAAATTGAAAATTGTGATTTTCCATAGTGTTTGGTATGTTTACCAGAGGGTATAGATAAATGATCGGCACAAAGGGCAACTTGGATAATTTTACCTTCATATTTTAGCCAGTTAACCTCTGGTAAACACAAACAAAAAACGATGGAAATTCACATTTTTCCATGGGGAAAATCACTATAAATGGGCGATTTTCCATAGCAAACTGTTAGAACATTACCAGAGGTAACCTCCCTTGTACCTGGGGTGTTTGGACCAGCCCAGGAAGCAACTTACAGTTCCCGCAGACTGCAAAAACACCCATTTTGCAGGTGATTTAACCACTGGTTGGTGGTTTGGAACCATGGAATTTTATGACTTTCCATTCAGTTGGGAATTTCATGATCCCAACTGACGAACTCCTATTTTTCAGAGGGGTAGGTATACCACCAACCAGACCATTTGCCATGGAACATCACCATTCTTTACAAGGTGACTATAGGTAAATCATCGAACTAAATCGGCAATTTTCCATAGTATAAACTAAATGACTGGAGGGTAAATGATGATATTCAAACATGTCTTTCTGGAAAATGCCCTTAAATCATGATTTTCCATGATCCCAATCTCACCCCACACATGTGGCAGTTTCCCAACTGATTTTATTTACGCAAGTCAGACCTCTTGCATTTTCCACATCATTCTAACTGAATTTTAACAACTTCTTAGTGGAGTTGTGGAGTAATGAAAATTATCTCAAGAATGGTGCATTATCATGTTAGACACTGGATTATTTGAAAGATATTAATGGCAATATGTTTGATTATATTGTTTGCAAAGAATGGGATATCATGATGATATCACAATTGTTTATTTGAAAGAATATCACGTGGCAAACAACATCTGTTACAACCCCCTAAACGATCCCGGAAACCAACGAGAATTGGTGGTCATTTTACGTTTTACATCATTCTGGGTAAATTATAACTTCACTGCGACCGAACCCTGGAATCATGGCTAGTAAATGCTAGTAAGGGGAACTGTCCCTTTTTTTGGTCTTATTTCAGGTTAGTGAATTACTATAATTTACCCAGATCATTCCCAAGATGAGTATACTTATCGCCAGGTCAGTTTGGGATGGTAACCAATGGTGACCATTGTTGAGTGTGATATCATATCCCATTATCCCATGATAAGAAAATCCCTGAAATGGTACCCAAGATGGTTATCCTTTAACCAGTCCTACAATGGATTGGGAATGATACCAATCCATTTTCAGAGAACACTTGCCTTATCAATGGGAATTTCAGGATCCTAAAATGGAGGTACCTACCATATATTTTTGGCCTATTTTTCAGGCCTAAATTTCAGGGGATATCCCCAGCAAAATATGGCCCAAAATATGGTACTAACGTACCTCCATGTATTGGATCCTGAGTCATTCCCATTGAGCCATTGTAAGGAATCCCGTCGATGACCGCAAGCAATAGACCATCTTTGGACCATCTTTGGACCGCAGAGATGTCATGCGACGTCCTAGTGAGAAGTGTTTTTTGTAGCCCTTGCTGGCTGATGAGTTTGGGGATTATACTAATGTGACTCATGTGGTTAAAACAATTTCATAAACCATCCCCCAGTCATCACCATCCCAAAAAATGTGGCAATCCGCTAACCGGGGGATGTGATTCATGGAATGCTGCTAGGAAGAAGAGGACTCAACATTGTCTGAAGGCTGAGGCGACACGTCACGTGACGGCGTTTTTTGAGACACCACAGGTGGCTTCAGGTGGAACATCAACCGGGGTCGCTCAACAGGTTGGATGAAAAATGTGAGATAGAACCAAAAGCGAGATAGAGCTAAAATGATCGTCCATTTAACAGATACATAACATATTTGAAGGGTCCCCGGTCTCTATTTAACAGATACATAATATATATATATAACAGATCAAAATTCCTGTCTATTTGAAAGCTTTCAGTGACATTTTTAACATATTTTAACACCTCAGAGACGATAACCCCCAACTGATTGAACAACGATAGGGGACTCCCTAAAATATACAAGATGGAGAGAAAAGCTGTGAAGAGAGGTTTGAAGATGTTGGGAAAACCCATTCATTTTTGATGTTGCTGATGATTCATGTTTTTATCTGCACGAATTGTTGCTAAGATATCATAATTTTCCTGATGAGCAGGGCTAGTTATCCCAAAACAGTCAACAAAAATCAGGTGAATTATTCTGGTTGGTGCTTTGGAACCATGGAATTTTATGACTTTCCATTCAGTTGGGAATGTCATCATCCCAACTGACTTTCACTCCATCATTTTTCAGAGGGGTTGGTTGAAACCACCAGCCAGCCATGAAATCCCCATTCATAATCCCTATATAATCCCTATAAAATCCCTATAAATCCATATATATATATACTGTATATATATTTAAATCCCCATTAATAATCCCAAATCCCAGTATTGTAACTTCGCCAGATTTTGAGCGGACATCCCACCTGGCCATGAGCATCTATACAAGGTGGTGCCCCCGTTCAATGACGTTCAGTTGGTGAACATAACTCCAATAACTATGGTTTATAGGCGATATATATATATATATATAGTGAATGGGCTTATAACCCATTTATAACCCACTATAATTAATCTGGGTAAATTATAAAGCGACCAAAGCCTGTTCTCCCGGTTCGCCTGGTTCATCATGGTAAATTTATGGGAAGTCATCCCCAAATGGCCGCAAGATTCAGGTTAATGAAATAATATAATTTACCCAGATATATTTACCCCAGATCAATGAACGAAATGGTGGATTTTCCAGCACGCCATGTTTGATGACACCAGAGGGTACCGCATGAAATAGATTCTATAGATGGCCATGCGATGGCATGGCCTCATTTCCCAGCATTTCTGCTGATCATTCAATTCAGACTCCATGAATGAAAGGGTAAGTAAGCCCAGTACCAAAAAGTTACAATTTGGTAGTGTCTAAACCACCCATTCCTCCTACAATGGGTGATGTGGGATGGTTCAGTTGGCTCCACATTTTTTCTTGGTGATATGGTTAGTGATATGCATATTAAATATGATCACTCTATCCCTATGATCGAAATTATCTCACCGAAATTTACTCAGCACAACTCAAGGTCGAAAGGATTATTTTTACCCAGCACAAAATAGGCATTGATCATTATGCAGTTGGGTATCGGTGTAATGTGATCGAAAGTATGGCCACCGCTGGTTTCGGACCCTTCGGATGCTGTTTCATGACTGGAGCTGACAATTGCGAGAGATGACCAGAGTATTTCTGGATATCTCCATGAATTTTCTGAATTGCGAGAGATGACCAGAGTGTTTCTGGATATCTCCATGAATTTTCTGAATTGCGAGAGATGACCAGAGTGTTTCTGGATATCTCCATGAATTTTCTGAATTGCGAGAGATGACCAGAGTACTGAGTATTTCTGGATATCTCCATGAATTTTCTGAATTGCGAGAGATGACCAGAGTACTGAGTATTTCTGGATATCTCCATGAATTTTCTGAATTGCGAGAGATGACCAGAGTGTTTCTGGATATCTCCATGAATTTTCTGTAGCAAATCAAGAGCCTTTTGAAATGGCTGCTGGGGCACTTTTGCATTTTGAAGTGAGATCCTGGCGGATTGATGAACTTGCCTACGGGTTGAAAACCGAACCAGCGTTTTGCATGTTTCTATGTCTTTCATGGGGTTAACGGGGTGGGGTGGGGTGGGGTAAAAACGTCCATTTGCACTGCCTGACATACATGATGCTACGCTGCTGTACGTCTTCTTGCACGTCCTCACATACATGATGCTACGCTGCTTTACGTCGCCTTGCACTTCCTCACATATATGATGCTACGCTAGTGTACGTCGTCTTGCATTTCCTCACATATATGATGCTACGCTAGTGTACGTCGTCTTGCACTTCCTCACATATATGATGCTACGCTAGTGTACGTCGTCTTGCACTTCCTCACATACATGATGCAACTCCACTGTATGTCGTCTTGCACTTCCTCACATATATGATGCTACGCTGCTGTACGTCTTTTTGCACTTCCTCACATATATGATGCAACGCTGCTGTACGTCTTTTTGCACGTGGACGCATGTTCGCGCTTGGCAGTGGAGATGGGCAAACAGTTCCCACAAAAACCTTTCGAAGCTCACTGCAGAAATTGTGAAGAACACTTAGCGCAGAAAAAAAGAGAGTGCCGCTGAGGTGTTTTACATATCCAATGAAAAGTACGCGCGTACTTTTTAAGGAAATTGAACTTTGAGAGAGATGCAAAACCACTGTGATTTGTGGTATGAAATCAATGACGAAAACTGCAAACGTTGAAAACGCGGGCTCGATAAACAACCCGCCGGGATGAACTTCGCCGGGTGTCATTTTGAAGCGGCCAGCCAACTTTGCCCATCCTTAAGTTTTCTTTCAGTGACTTTTGGGCTGAAAATGTGGAACAAAAAGAACTGGATCTTCATGGGTTACCTCTAACGGCCAGCCAATGTGGGTTTTTTTCGCGCACAGCAAAAAGATGGAACTTTCTTCAAACGGCATCTCAAACGTGGGGTTGCTGTAAACACAGTAAAAAAGCATTTTCAGAGCCGAAGTCAGCAAGAATCAGCCGCTTCGGTCATGCTACGCAATCCCTTAAAGAAATGGCTGTTTTTGTGGCTATCTGGTTGGTGGTTTGGAACATTTGGATGATTTTTCCATATATTGGGAATAGTAACCCCAACTGACTCATATTTTTCAGAGGGGTAGTATACCACCAACCAGCTATAAATGGAGTGTTTAGCCATCAAAACGATTTCGAAACACGCAACGATCTCACCGGACAAATTTGAGATGCGGCCCCTCAATCAACCCTCTAGCTGACTCGATCTAACCGGAAAACTTCCCCAAGCTCGCTGTGTTGCAGGAACTGGTAGCTGCTTGGTGGTTTCCCATTGGTGTTTCTTAGATTTTATCCAATGCGTTTCCATAGTCATGGAGATACCCCAAGCTCGCTGGATGGTTTTATAGTGGTCCGAAAATAACATGGATGATAACTGCGAGTACCCCTTTGACTTGGGAAAGCTGAATATTTTTTTGTTATGGCTACAGAAGACCAGCTTCTGTATGGTACATGATGTCTCTTCTGATCTTTTTTTCGCCTCGATCTTTAAGCTTACGCTTGGGGAATCACTAGCGATTTTTTTGGGAGCTTCCGGACCAGCTTGCTGCATCCAAGACATGGGGAAGAATTCCGTTGCCGAACCGGAGAGCCATGAAAGTTGCGAAATTTCGGATCGACGACTCGACGACCTCCCGCGAAAAGGACCCAGGGGTTCAAGCTAGTTTCTATAGTCAGGAAAGGGTCCCCAAACGATAGGTCATCAGGCAGGCGTTTTGTCAGGCTAAGTAGGATTTAGCCTCTGGTCATTGAAGAGTTTGCTGAAGCCATTTCCCATTGGCTTCGATGATTTATGGTTATTTCATGTTACTTCCCTTCAAAAAAAAGGGATTTTCCTTGATTTTCCATGAAATCACCATTCAACCACCATTAAATCACGGATTTTTACATGGTGCTTGGACCATGTTTTTTACGGAGAACCCAAGATGGCCCGTAACCGCGAAGGCGGTTGCGCCGGATCACAAGGTACATAAATAAATAAACAATAACATAACATATTTTATCATTATTATTTATTATATATTTATTATTATATATGATAATATCAATAACGATCATCATCATCATCATTATGATTATGATTATGATTATGATGATTATTAATATATTTATATATGAAATTATATATATATGATTATATATACGATTATCACCCGCAGAACCTAACGTTCGCCCATGATTACATAATATATCTCAATTCTCCCACGATTATACCACATGTTTCATCCGCGGTTCTAACCGCCTTGCAGGGATGGACGGTACACTAGGTGTGGCCCCTCGCTACGCGGACGACACCAAATTTGCTTCATGGCTCGTTTCAGTTTCACGCTAATTTGCGGTAATAACCATTTGCAGACTTCGTGGGGGTCCGTGGAAAAGAGCTCCGTGCGAGAAAACACAGGCTCCGGGCAAACGTCCGGATCTGTGCGAATTATGATTATATACCATAAAATTGCGCGATAGTTTAATATATATATATATGTAGACTTCAATTCTTCATGGTTTGTCAAGCTGGTGGAGCCAATATGTGAAGATGAAAATAACTTAACTCCGATGTTTGACAGATCTGTTCTTGGGCTAATTAAGACTATTTAACAGGTGTATGTTTTCTTATCCGATGAACATATCATATGTTCGTTATAACCCCCATGTTTTAAATGCTTTTGGGTTGATCACTGCATCTTTGAGCCCAGAAGAGCATGAGGGTCAAAAGGTCTACCTGTGGTTCGGACAAGGGCACGGATGTTTTTTGAAGTGTTTGCGGTAGGGAAAGGAGATTCAGAGAATGTCATACCGAGTCAGTAGCTCTAACTAGAACTGGATAAAGGGTGTAACATGACTTATACTAGAGAACTATCCCATTAGAACTTTCCCATCATAACTAGTGGGGTACATTGACTATAACTAGAACCGGACAACTATCCGATTAAAGCTATAACTAGAACGTTGCGTTTCCCGATGGGATTCAAACCCCCATGAAACCCCGCTGGGGCCGAAGACCCGGTTGAAAAAAAAATGTGAGAACAAACACGTGTGTTTGTCCGGACAATGGCAAGGTTAAAATCCCTGGAAAAATCCTAGGACCACCCCATGGTAAACTGACATA